CGCTCGGCACCTCGGCGGGGCTGGCGAGGGCGGGGAGAGCTGGCGCAGAGCCCCTCCGGAAGCTGGCGGCGCCGGGAACGCCGGGAACGCCGGGAACGCCGGGAACGCCGGCCGGCGGGCACCGGGAATGGCGGGCAACGGGAGCGGCAACGGGGGCGGCAACGGGAGCCAGGTTAGCGCGGACGGACGCACGGACGGACACGCGGGATGGACACGCAGATGGATGCACGGACAGACACATGGACGGAACATGGATGGATGCGCGGATGGACACACGGACGGACACGCGGATGGACACGCGGATGGATGCACGGACGGACATGCGTATGGACACACGGACAGACATGTGGACACACAGACGGACACGCGGATGGACACACGGATGGACACATGGATGGACACACGGATGGACACATGGATGGACACACGGATGGACGCACCGACGGACACATGGATGGATGCATGGATGGATGCATGGACGGATGCATGGATGGAGACATGGATGGATGCATGGACAGACATGCGGACGGACACGCTGACGGACACAGGGACGGACATGCGGATGGACACACAGATGGACACACAGACAGATGCACAGACGGACACATGGATGGACGCACAGATGGACTCACCAACCGACACATGGATGGATGCATGGACGGACACACGGATGAGACACGCAGACGGACACAGGGACGGATGCACAGACGGACACATGGATGGACACACAGATGGACACACGGATGGACACACGGATGGACACACGGATGGACACACGGACGGACACACGGATGGACACACGGGATGGACACACGGATGGACACGCAGATGGACACACGGATGGGCACACGGATGGACACACGGATGGACAGACAGATGGACACACGGATGGACACGCAGATGGATGCATGGATGAACACACGGATGGACACACGGATGGACGCGGGGGATGGACACATGGATGGACACACGGATGGACACACGGATGGATGCGTGGATGAACACACGGATGGACACACGGATGGATGCGTGGATGGACACAGGGATGGGCACATGGATGGACACACGGATGGACACAGGGATGGGTGCATGGACGGACACACGGATGGACACACGGATGGACGCATGGACGGATGCTGCATGGACGGATGCACAGATGGACACAGGGATGGACACACGGATGGACACATGGATGGACACATGGATGGGTGCATGGACGGATGCACAGATGGACACAGGGATGGACACACGGATGGACACACGGATGGATGCAATGGACGGGATGCACAGATGGACACATGGATGGACACACGGATGGACACATGGATGGACACATGGTGGATGGGTGCATGGACGGATGCACAGATGGACACATGGATGGACACATGGATGGACACAGGGATGGACACAGGGATGGATGCATGGACGGACACGCGGACACGGACGGACACGCGAGGGCGGAGCCGGAGCGCAGGAGAGAGCGGGGAACGGGCGCCGGGAGGCCGACCCCGGGATGGGGGATGGGGGATGGGGCTGGAAGTGGGCTTGGGATATTTTGGGGGAAATTTGGGGATTTTTTGGGATGTTTTGGGGTATTCTGGGTAATTTTGGGGTATTCTGGGGTAATTTTTGGGGTATTCTGGGGGTAATTTTGGGGCATTCTGGGGTAATTTTGGGGCATTCTGGGAGATTTTGGGGCATTCTGGGAGATTTTCGGAGATTCCGAAATGTTTTCAAATATTTTGGGAAAGTTTGGAGTTGTTTGGATATTTCGGGATCTATTTTGGGGTATTTTGGGGATATTTTGGAACATTCTGGGCTATTTTGGGGTATTCTGGGATATTTTCAGATTTTTTTTCAGATATTTCGGGATAGTTCAGAATCTTTTGGGGTATTTTGGAATATTCCAGGATATTCTGGGATATTTTGGGAAATTTTGGGATATTTGGGAATAGAGCGGGAACGGCGCCGGGAGCCGTCCCCGGGATGGGGATGGGGATGGGGCTGGAAGTGGGGCTTGGGATATTTTTGGGGATATTTTGGGATTTTTTCAGATATTTTGGGATTTTTTTTCAGATATTTTGGGAAAGTTTGCAATATTTTGGCGTATTTCGGGATTTTTTGGGGATATTTTGACATAGTTTGGAATATTTTGAAATATTTTGGGATATTCTGTGATATTTTCAGATTTTTTTTTTTCAGATATTTTGGGGCATTTTGGGGTATTTGAGGATATTTTGGAATATTCTGGGATAATTTTGGAATATTTTGGAATGCTTTGGGAATTTTTGAAATATTCTGGGATATTTTGGGATATTTGGGAATACTTTGGAATATTCTGGAACATTTTGGGACATTCTGGGATATTTTGGGATTTTTTCAGATATTTTGGGATAGTTTTGGAATATTTTGGGGTATTTTGAAATATTCTGGGATATTCTGAAATATTTTGAAATATTTTGGGATACTTTGGGATATTTTCAGATTTTTTTCAGCTGTTTTGGGATAGTATGAAATATTTTGGGATATTTTTAGATTTTTTTCAGTGATTTGGGGATAGTTTGGGATATTTTGGGGTATTTTGGGATATTTGGGGATATTTTGGGATATTTTGGGATATTTGGGAATAATTCGGGATATTCTGGGATATTTTCAAATTTTTTCAGCTGTTTTGGGATAGTTTGGGATATTTTGGGGTATTTGGGGATATTTTGGAATATTCTGGGATATTTGGAATATGTGGGGACATTTGGGGATATTCTGGGACATTTTGGGACATTTTGGAATATTTGGGGTTATTTTGGAATATTTTTGGATATTCTGGGGTATTTTGGGATATTCTGGGATATCAGGAATAATTCCTGCATGCAAAAACCCATCCAGCCCTGGACAGCTGCGGATTAATCCCCAAAATTCCAGGATGGCTTCAAATCCCCGTGGATTCCGGGGATGGGATTGGTCGCACCCCAAATCCCTCCAAGACCTTTCCCAACCTCAACCCCTCCGGAATTCCCCGACGGACGCAAACCCGGAGCCGACCCCAAAACCCCCAGAATTCCCAGGATTCCCCAAATCCCGGAATTCCTCACCTGGAATTGCAGCTTGGGCGCCAGCAGGTTATTCTGGGACGGCGGCTTGTACATGGGCCTGCTGGGCTGTGGGAATGGGGGGGAAAAAAAAAACCGGGAATTTTTCTGGATCTCATCCGGGAAATCCCAAATTTCCGCGGCTCCCGGCCCGTCCCCGACCTTGGGCGGCGGCTCCCGGAACGCCGGCGGCTCCAGGATTCTGGGGGGGCGGTGGCGGCCGCGTCCTCTCCTGCTCCTTGGCCAGCTCCTTCTCCATCAGGTAAATGTCGCTGCGGGGAGGGGACGGCGAGGTGACGATCGCGGGCAATTCCCGGCCTTGGGGACCCCTTGGAGGGTTTGGGTTTCCGGGAAAGGCTCGGATTCCAAATTTTCCCCATTAAAATTCCCGATTCCAAAGTTTTTCCCCAGATTTTTCCCCTCAGCATTCCCATCTCTCCATCCCATTCCAGAATCCCCAGCCTCGGAGACCCCTTGGAGGGTTCGGGTTCCTTTGCCATAAAAATTCCCAATTCCAAAGCTTTTCCCAAATTTTTTCCTCCTCGTTCCCAACCCTCCATCCCTCCATGGATCCTCCAGCATTCCCTTTGGAATTGGAGTGTTTCAATTCTGAGGAAAGGCTCTAAATCCAAAATTTTCCATTAAAATTTCCGATTCCCAAGTTTTTTCCATATTTTTCACCCACATTTCCATCAATCCATCCCTCCATGGATCCTCCAGAATTCCCTTTGGAGTTGGAGTGTTGCAATTCTGAGGAACGGCTCTAAATCCAAAATTTTCCATAAAAATTCCCAAGTTTTTTCCCCGATTTTTCATCCACATTCCATCTCTCCATCCCACTCCAGATTCCCAGCCTTGGAGACCCTTTGGAGGGTTTGGGTTCCTGGGAAAGGCTCGGAACCCAAACTTTGCCATAAAAATTCCCAATCCCACACTTTTCCCAAATTTTTTCCTGCTCGTTCCCAACCCTCCATCCCTCCATGGACTCTCCAGAATTCCCTTTGGGGTTGGAGTGTTTCAATTCTGAGGAAAGGCGCTAAATCCAAAATTTTCCATAAAAATTCCCAATTCCAAAGTTTTTCCCAGATTTTTCATCCATGTTCCCACCTCTCCATCCCATTCCCGAATTCCCAGCCTTGGAGACCCCTTGGAGGGTTCGGGTTCCTTTTCCATAAAAATTCCCAATTCCAAAGCTTTTCCCAAATTTTTTCCTGCTCGTACCCAACCTTCCATCTCTCCACGGATTCTCCAGAATTCCCTTTGGAACTGGAGCGTTTCAATTCTGGGGGACGGCTCTAAATCCAAAATTTTCCACAAAAATTCCCAATTTCAAAGTTTTTTCCCAGATTTTTCCCCTTCACATTCCCACCTCTCCATCCCATTCCAGAATTCCCAGCCTTGGAGACCCTTTGGAGGGTTTGGGTTCCCGGGAAAGGTTCTGAACCCAAAATTTCCCATAAAAATTCCCAATTCCAAAGTTTTTCCCAGATTTTTCCTCCACATTCCCATCAATCCATCTCTCCATGGAACCTCCAGAATTCCCTTTGGAGGTGGAAGGTTTCATTTCCCAGAAAAGGCTCTGAACCCAAAATTTTCCGTAAAAATTCCCAATTCCCAAGTTTTTCCCCGATTTTTCATTCACATTCCCATCTCTCCATCTCATTCCCAAATTCCCAGCCTTGGAGACCCTTTGGAGGGTTTGGGTTCCCAGGAAATCTTCTGAACCCAAAATTTTCCATAAAAACTCACAATTCCAAATTTTTCCTCCTCATTCCCAACACTCCATCCCTCCATGGATTCTCCAGAATTCCCTTTGGAATTGGAGTGTTTCAATTCTGAGGAAAGGCGCTAAATCCAAAATTTTCCATAAAAATTCCCAAGTTTTTCCCAGATTTTTCCTCCATATTCCCAACCCTCCATCTCTCCATGGATCCTCCAGAATCCCCTTTGGGGTTGGATGGTTTGGATTCCCGGGAAAGGCTCTGAACCCAAACTTCTCCATAAAAATTCCCAATTCCAAGGTTTTTCCCAGATTTTTCCCCCACATTCCCACCCTTCCATCCCTCCATGGATCCTCCAGAATTCCCTTTGGAGATGGAATTTTTTGCTTCCGAGACAAGGCTCTGAACCCAAACTTTTCCATAAAAGCTCTCGATCCCTCACTTTTCCCAACTTTTTTCCTCCTCATTCCCAACCTCCCGTCCTTCCATGAATCCTGCAGAATTCCCAGCCTTGGAGACCCTTTGGAGATGGAGGGTTTCAATTCTGAGGAAAGCCTCTAAATCCAAAATTTTCCCTCAAAATTCCCAATTCCAAAGTTTTCCCCAGATTTTTTCCTCCACATTCCCAACCTTCCTTCCTTCCATGGATCCTCCAGCATTTCCAGCCTTGGAGACCCTTTGGAGGGTTTTGCTTCTGAACCCAATCTTCTCCATAAAAATTCCCAATCTGAAATTTTCCCTCGATTTTTCTCCCACCATTCCCCCCCAACATTCCCACCCCTTTCCATGGTTCCTCCACCATTCCGAGCCCACCTGAGGCTGCAGAGAATTTGGGCTTGGAGAAAACTCGGAGAGACCCCTTGGGAGCTGGAGCGATTCACTTCCCAGGAAAGGCTCTGAACCCAAAGTCTTCCATAAAATCTCCCAATCCCAAACTTTTTCCCAACTTTTTCCCCCCAACATTCCCACCCCATCCCATGATTCTTCCACCATTCCAGGCCCACCTGAGGCTGCAGAGCAGCTCCTGGAATCTGGGCTTGGAGAAGCCTTGGAGACCCTTTGGAATGGGCGTGGGTTCCTTCCCAGCAAAACCCAAACTCCTCCACCAAAATTCCCAATCCCAACCTTTTCCCAGCTTTTCTCCCCCCCAACATTCCCACCCTTTCCACAGTTCCTCCACCCTGCCAGGCCCACCTGAGGCTGCAGAGCAGCTCCTGGAATTTGAGCTTGGAGAAGCCTTGGAGACCCTTTGGAGACGCTTTCCTGGGAACCAAAGCCCTTCCAAAAGGTCTCTGATGCTCCTCTAAGCCCAAACCTTTCCATAAAATCTCCTGATCCAAAGCTTTTCACAGATTTTTTTTCCTCCACCTTCCCAACCCTCCATCCCTCCATGGATCCTCCAGAATTCCCTTCGGAGTTGGAATGTTTCACTTCCCAGGAAAGTGAAACATTCTGAACTCAAACTTTGCCATAAAAACTCCCGATCCAAATTTTTTTCCCATATTTCTCCCCCACATTTTCACCTCTCCATCCCACTCCAGAATTCCCAGCCTTGGAGACCCTTTGGAGGGTTTGGGTTCCCGGGAAAGGTTCTGAACCCAAAATTTCCCATAAAAATTCCCAATTCCAAAGTTTTTCCCAGATTTTTCATCCACATTTTCACCAATCCATCCCTCCATGGACTCTCCAGAATTCCCTTTGGGGTTGGAAGGGTTCGTTTCCCAGGAAAGGCTCTGAACCCAAAGTTTTCCATAAAATCTCCTGATCCAAAACTCTTCCCAGATTTTTCCCCCACATTTTCACCTCTCCATCCCACTCCAGAATTCCCAGCCTTGGAGACCCTTTGGAGGGTTTGGGTTCCCGGGAAAGGTTCTGAACCCAAACTTCTCCATAAAAATTCCCAATCCCAAAGTTTTTCCCAGATTTTTCCCCCTCATTCCCAACCCTCCATCTCTCCACGGATCCTCCCGAATTCCCTTTGGAGCTGGAGTGCTTCACCTCCCAGAAAATGTTCTGAACCCAAACTTCTCCATAAATTCCCGAATCCTAAATTTTTCCCACCTTTTTCCCCCCAACGTTCCCACCCCATCCCATGGTTCCCCCACCATTCCAGGCCCACCTGAGGCTGCAGAGCAGCTCCTGGAATTTGGGTTTGGAGGAGCCTTGGAGACCCTTTGGAGACCCTTTGGAAGGGGATGGGATTGGAAGGGCTTTGATTCCCGGGCAAGGGTCTCCAAAGGGTCTCCAAGGCTCCTCCAAGCCCAAACTTCTCCATAAAAACCCCCAATTCCAAGGTTTTTCCCAGATTTTTCCCCCACATTCCCACCCTTCCATCCCTCCATGGATCCTCCAGAATTCCCTTTGGAGTTAGAATGTTTCACTTCCTAGGAAAGGCTCTGAACCCAAACTTGTCCATGAAAACTTTCAATCCCACACTTTTCCCACATTTTGCGTCCACATTCCCATCTCTCCGTCCCACTCCAGAATTCCCAGCCTTGGAGACCCTTTGGGGGGTTTCAATCCCAGGAAAGGCTCTGAATCCAAACTTCTCCATAAAAACTCCCAATCCCAAAGTTTTTCCCAGATTTTTCCCCCTCATTCCCAACCCTCCATCTCTCCACGGATCCTCCCGAATTCCCTTTGGAGCTGGAGTGCTTCACTTCCCAGAAAATGTTCTGAACCCAAACTTCTCCATAAAAATTCCCGATCTGAAATTTTTCCTCGATTTTTCTCCCACCATTCCCCCCCCAACATTCCCACCCCTTTCCACGGTTCCCCCAGCGTTCCGGGCCCACCTGAGGCTGCAGACGAGCTCCTGGAAGCGGGGCCGCTCGGCGGGGTCGTAGTCCCAGCAGCGCGTCATGAGCGTGTAGAGCACGGGCGGGCACGGGTCGGGCTTGGGCAGCCGGTCGCCCTTCTCCAGCACGCCGATCACGTCCTTGTTCTCCAGCCAGAAGAACGGCTGCTTCCCGAAGCTCAGGATCTCCCACATGCACACGGCTGCGGGACGGGAGCGGGAACCCACCGGGATTCCCGGGATCCCCCAATTCTGAATCCCACGATCCCCTTCTGAATCCCAGAATCCCACAGTTCTGAATCCCAGAATCCCACAGTTCTGAACCCCAGAATCCCCCAATTCTGAACCCCAGAATCCCACAGTTCTGAATCCCAGGATCTCACAATTCTGAATCCCAGGACCCCACAGTTCTGAATCCCAGGATCTCACAGTTCTGAATCCCAGGATCTCACAATTCTGAATCCCAGAATCCCACAGTTCTGAATCCCAGGATCCCACAGTTCTGAACCCCAGAATCCCCCAATTCTGAATCCCAGAATCCCACAACTCTGAATCCCAGGATCTCCCAATTCTGAATCCCACGATCCACCAATTCTGAATCCCAGGATCCCACAATGCTGAATCCCAGGATCCGCCTCTGAATCCCAGGATCCCCCAATGCAGAATCCCAGGATCCCACCCCATTATGACAAATCCCAAAATCCCCCAATTCTGAATCCTGGGATCCCCAGTTCTGAATCCCAGAATCTAACAATTCTGAATCCTGGTATCCCACTCCACAATGCTGAATCCCAGGATCCCACTCCATGCCATGGGAATCTGATCAATCCCAGGATCCCATTCCATGGTGATGAATCCCAGGATCCCACTCTGAATCCCAGAATCCCACAACTCTGAATCCCAGGATCCCCCGATTCTGAATCCCAGGATCTCCCAGTTCTGAATCCCAGTATCCCACTCTGAATCCTGGAATCCCACTCTGAATCCTGGGATCCCACCTCACAATGCTGAATCTCAGGATCCCACAATTCTGAATCCCAGAATCCCACAATTCTGAATCCCAGAATCCCCCAACTCTGAATCCCGGGATCCCCCAATTATGAATCCTTTGATCTCCCTCTGAATCCCAGAATCCCATAATTCTGAATCCCAGAATCCCCCAACTCTGAATCCCAGAATCCCACAACTCCGAATCCCCGGACCCCACAATTCTGAATCCTAGGACCCCACAGTTCTGAAACCCAGGATCCCCCAATTCTGAATCCCAGGATCCCCCAATTCTGAATCTCAGGATCCCCCAGTCCTGAATCCCGGGATCCCGCCCCGAATCCCAGTATCCCCCGATTCAGAATCCCGGTATCCCGCCCCGTTCCCGCCCCTCACCGAACATCCAGACGTCGCTGGCCGTGGTGAAGCGCCGGAAGTTGATGGACTCCGGCGCCATCCACTTGATGGGGAGGCGGGAGATGGAAGCTGGAACGAGCCGGGAATGATCCCGATCCCACATTTCCCCCGTCCCCGGCCATCCCGAGGGATCCACGGGATCCCAAATCCCGCGGGGTGGATCCCACCTTTGTAGTACTCCTCATCCTCGATGTAGCGCGAGAGGCCGAAGTCGCCGAGCTTGACGCACTCCGGGGAGGCCACCAGGATGTTCCGGACGGCGATGTCCCTGCGATTCGGGATTTGGGATTTGGGATTTTGGATATGGGATTTGGGATTTGGGATGTGGGATAATGGGATATGGGATTTGGGATCCATAGGATTTGGGATTTGGGATATGGGATTTGGCATATGGGATTTGGGATGAGGAGAGGGGAGGCCACCAGGATGTTCCGGACGGCGATGTCCCTGCGATTCGGGATTTGGGATTTGGGAATTGGGATTTTGGATATGGGATTTGGGATTTGGGATTTGGGATCCATGGGATAATGGGATTTGGGATCCATAGGATTTGGGATTTGGGATATGGGATTTGGCATATGGGATTTGGGACGTGGAGAGTGGAGGCCACCAGGATGTTCTGGACGGCGATGTCCCTGGGATTCGGGATTTGGGATTTGCGATTTGGGAATTGGGATTTTTGGATATGGGATTTGGGATTTGGGATTTGGGATCCATGGGATAATGGGATTTGGGATCCATAGGATTTGGTATTTGGGATATGGCATATGGGATTTGGGACGTGGAGAGGGGAGGCCACCAGGATGTTCCGGACGGCGATGTCCCTCCGATTCGGGATTTGGGAATTGGGATTTGGGATATGGGATTTGGGATGTGGGATAATGGGATTAGGGATCCATAGGATTTGGGATTTGGGATTTGGGATTTGGGATTTGGGATTTGGGATATGGGATTTGGGATATGGGATTTGGGATTTGGGACGTGGAGAGGGGAGGCCACCAGGATGTTCCGGACGGCGATGTCCCTCCGATTCGGGATTTGGGAATTGGGATTTGGGATATGGGATTTGGGATGTGGGATAATGGGATTAGGGATCCATAGGATTTGGGATTTGGGATTTGGGATTTGGGATTTGGGATATGGGATTTGGGATATGGGATTTGGGATATGGGATTTGGGATTTGGGACGTGGAGAGGGGAGGCCACCAGGATGTTCCGGACGGCGATGTCCCTCCGATTCGGGATTTGGGATCCATGGGATTATAGGAATTGGGATAATGGGATTTGGGATATGGGATTTGGGATGTGGGATAATGGGATAATGGAGGAGCCACCAGGATGTTCCGGACGGCGATGTCCCTGCGATTCGGGATTTGGGATTTGGGATTATGGGAATTGGGATTTGAGATCCATAGGATTTGGGATCCATGGGATAATGGGATTTGGGATCCATAGGATTTGGGATTTGGGATATGGGATTTGGGGTTTGGTATATGGGATTTGGGATGTGGAGAGGGGAGGCCACCAGGAAGTTCCGCACAGCGATGTCCCTGGGATTCGGGATTTGGAATCCGTGGAATTATGGGAATTGGGAATTGGGATTTGGGATTTGGGATGTGGGATAATGGAAGGGGGGGGCACCACGATGTTCCGGACGGCGATGTCCCTGGGATTTGGGATTTGGGATCTGTGGGATTATGGGAATTGAGATTTGGGATTTGGGATGTGGGATAACGGAGAGGAGAGGCCACCAGGATGTTCCGGACGGCGATGTCCCTGGGATTTGGGATCGGTGGGATTTGGGGTCATTGGGATAATGGAATAATGGGATTTGGGATGTGGGATATGGGATATGATAATGGAGAGGAAAAATCACCAGAATGTTGCGGATGGCGATGTCCCTGGCATTCGGGATTTGGGATCACTGGGATCCATGGGATTATGGTATTTGGGATTTGGGTTGGGATAATGGGATTTGGGATATGGGATATGGGATAATTAATGGGATATGGGATGTGGGATATGGGATATGGGATGTGGGATAATTAATGGGATAATGGGATTTGGGACCCATGAGATAATGGGATAATGAGATATGGGATAATGGAGAGGAGAGGCCACCAGGATGTTCCTGACGGTGATGTCCCTGGGATTTGGGATTTGAGATCATTGGGATAATGGGATAAGGGGATTTGGGATATGGGATTTGGGATGGGGGTTGTGGAGAGGAGACGCCACCAGGATGTTCCGCATGGCGATTCCCTGGGATTTGGGACTTGGGATCCGTGGGATTACGGGATATGGGATAATGGGATAATGGGATAATGGGATAGGGGATTTGGGATAGGGGATTTGGGATAGGGGATTTGGGATAGGAGATATGGGATATTGGGGTAACAGGATAATGGGATAACATGATAATGGGATAATGGGATAATTAGACAATGGGATGGGATAATGGGATGGGATGGGATAATGGGATGGGATAATGGGGTGGGATGGGATGGGATGGGATGGAGCAGAACCCTCACCCAGCCCACACAGCTCCCCAAAGCCACCACCCCCTCTCCACCCCTGCTCCCACTCCCACCATCCCCCTATCCATGACCCCGCCTTCCCCCGCCCATCCCGGAATTCCACAGGGCTCCCATCCCAAATCCCGAACCCCAAATCCCGAATCTCAAATCCCAAACCCAAATCCCAAATCCCGAATCCCGAATCCCAAATCCCGAATCCCAAATCCTGAATCCCAAATCCCAAATCTCAAATCCTGAATCCCGAATCCCAAACCCCAAACCCCAAATCCCAATCCCAAATCCCAAACCCAAAATCCCGAATGCCAAATTCCAAATCTCAAATCCTGAATCCCAAATACCCATCCCAAATCCCAGATCCCGAATCCCAAATCCCGAATCCCAAACCTCAATCCCAAATCCCAAAAACCCGAACCCCAAACCCCAAACCCCAAATCCCAAATCCCGAATCCCAAATCCCAAATCCCAAACCCAAATCCAAACCCCAAATCCCAAATCCCAAGCCCCAAATCCCGAATTCCAAATCCCGAATCCCAAATCCCTGGATCTCACCTATGGACACAGTTGACGGCCTCCAGGTAGGCCAGGGCCTTGCTGACCTGCAGCGCGAACAGCACCAGCGTGGGCACGGCCAGGCCCGCCCGGTTCTGCTCCAGGTACTGACCCAGCTGCAACGGCACCGTCCCGACAGGGTCACACCGGGAACGGCGGGAGGCGGCACTCACCGCCAGGCCCACCGGGACCCAGGGATCCTGTCCTCTCCATCCATGAGGATCCATGAGGATCCATGGATCCTGCCCTCTCCAAAACTCCCACATGGGTCCATGTGATGGTGCCCTCTCCATCATTCCCACCAGGATCCAGGGATCCTGTCCTCTCCATCCATGAGGATCCATGGATCCTGCCCTCTCCAAAACTCCCACATGGGTCCATGTGATGGTGCCCTCTCCATCATTCCTACCAGGATCCAGGGATCCTGCCCTCTCCAAAACTCCCACATGGGTCCATGTGATGGTGCCCTCTCCATCATTCCCACCAGGATCCAGGGATCCTGTCCTCTCCATCCATGAGGATCCATGGATCCTGCCCTCTCCAAAACTCCCACATGGGTCCATGTGATGGTGCCCTCTCCATCATTCCCACCAGGATCCAGGGATCCTGTCCTCTCCATCCATGAGGATCCATGGATCCTGCCCTCTCCAAAACTCCCACATGGATCCATGTGATGGTGCCCTCTCCATCATTCCCACCAGGATCCAGGGATCCTGCCCTCTGCAAAACTCCCACATGGATCCATGTGATGGTGCCCTCTCCATCATTCCCACCAGGATCCAGGGATCCTGCCCTCTCCAAAACTCCCACATGGGTCCATGTGATGGTGCCCTCTCCATCATTCCCACCAGGATCCATGGATCCTGCCCTCTCCAAAACTCCCACATGGGTCCATGTGATGGTGCCCTCTCCATCATTCCCACCAGGATCCATGGATCCTGCCCTCTCCAAAACTCCCACATGGATCCATGTGATGGTGCCCTCTCCATCATTCCCACCAGGATCCATGGATCCTGTCCTCTCCATCCATGAGGATCCATGGATCCTGCCCTCTCCAAAACTCCCACATGGGTCCATGTGATGGTGCCCTCTCCATCATTCCCACCAGGATCCATGGATCCTGTCCTCTCCATCCATGAGGATCCATGGATCCTGCCCTCTCCAAAACTCCCACATGGATCAATGTGATGGTGCCCTCTCCATCATTCCCACCAGGATCCAGGGATCCTGCCCTCTCCAAAACTCCCACATGGATCCATGTGATGGTGCCCTCTCCATCATTCCCACCAGGATCCAGGGATCCTGTCCTCTCCATCCATGAGGATCCATGAGGATCCATGGATCCTGCCCTCTCCAAAACTCCCACATGGATCCATGTGATGGTGCCCTCTCCATCATTCCCACCAGGATCCATGAGGATCTGGCCCTCACCGTCAGTCCCAGCAGGATCCATGGATCCTGCCCTCTCCATCATCCCAAGGATCCATGGATCCTGCCCTGTCCATCACTCCCATGAGGATCCATGAGAACCCATGATGATCCATGGATCGTGCCCTCTCCATCCATGATGATCCATGCGTGCTGCCCTCTCCATCCATGAAGATCCATGAGGATCCATAAGGATCCATGAGGATCCATGGATCCAGCCCTCCCCATCATTCCCATCAGGATCCATGAGGACGCATGGATCCTGTCCTCTCCATCCATGAGGATCCATGGATCCAGCCCTCACCGCCAATCCCACCAGGATCCAGGGATCCTGTCCTCTCCATCAGTCCCACCAGGATCCATGGATCATGCCGTCTCCAAAATTTCCACATGGATCCATGGATCCTGTCCTCTCCATCCATGAAGATCCATGAGGATCCATGAGGATCCATGGATCCTGCCCTCTCCATCATTCCCATGAAGATCCACGGATCCTCTCCTCACCATCCATGAGACCATGATCGGGGTCGGGATGGGGGTCGGGATGGGGGTCCCACCTCTCCGTAGGGATAGAGCTCCATGACGATCCAGGTGGGCTCGTCCTCGGCGATGCCGATGAGCTTCACGATGTGCGGGTGGTCCAGCTTCTTCATCAGCACTGCGGGGACGGCGAACGGAGATCACCCCACAGGTGAGACTGAGTAAAGCTCTGCATGTTTTTAGTTTTCCAAACCGTTCAAGTGCAAAACCAAACCCGCCAATCTTTAAACGCTTTTCAAATAACACACAAACAAAACTAAAAAAAAAATCCTCCTGTTCTAATTAGAAACCCTAATGTTAGCGTTCAAAACCACATAATCACCGTGGATTATATGCTTATAATGCACGGGGGATTATCTTTTTTATTAAGAGCTCTGGGAATCGGGGTGTATTCAACCCAAATCTGACTCCGACCATACATCCCAAATGATCATGTTTTATACTCTGTCGTTACATAACTTTCACGTTAATTATTAAACTTATATTGTTCTATTGCATACATAAATTTAGCCCCTCTCTGAATTTCCAGCATAGTTCCTCACTATTCTTCTTATGGTTATATAATAATTACATTTAATTACTAAACAATCATCACATCTAACAATGATATAATTTATCACGCTGCTTTACGCAGGTGCGGTTGATCTGGGAAAGCGCAAAGCCGAACATTTTAGATTCTACCTTTAACTTTTCCCAGGGTTCCACTATCACTAACTCTAGACAAATAAAAAGTCCATTTCAATTAATAACGCAGAGCAAAAAGTGTACTTCTGTCTCCACCAGTGCCAAAATTAAGTAAATTCCTACAAAAAACGCCAAACCATATCGCACTTCAAAACCTGTTATCAAGCCCAAAACCGAAAAAAACAAGGACGCAAACGAAAACCGAATCAAAAAATCCCAAGTCTCACCCGACGCCTCTTGTACCTGACGTTCTTTGTACATCAGCAAAACCCATGAACTCTAATTTTGTGCCAATGGTATTTAGAAGGATGCTAATTAAATACTGAATGTTCATTTAACAAAACGAATTTTTAGCTGAAAACTTAAGTTCTTGTTCTCGTTTAGAAAAAAATCCCATCAAAACTTAGTTCTTCAAAGAGACGGGGCAAAATTAAATGGCGTGCTTGTATCCCAATTCCCACCTCGGGATGGAGGATCCCCCCAATTCCGGGGGATCCCCACCCCCGGTGTGCGGGATGGAGGTGGGAATTGTCCCGGATTTCCCAAAGGGGTTGGAGATCCTGGGGTTTGGGTTCCTCCAGCCGGGGATTCCAGAAGTTTCTCCACCTCTCCAAGATTCCCTTCCCGTAATTTTGGGGTTTTGGGGTCCTATCCCGGGTTTCCTATCCCCCAATTCCGGGGGATCCCCACCCCCGGTGTGCGGGATGGAGGTGGGAATTGTCCCGGATTTCCCAAAGGGGTTGGAGATCCTGGGGTTTGGGTTCCTCCAGCCGGGGATTCTAGAAGTTTCTCCACCTCTCCAAGATTCCCTTCCCGTAATTTTGGGGTTTTTGGGGTCCTATCCCGGGTTTCCTATCCCCCAATTCCGGGGGATCCCCACCCCCGGTGTGCGGGATGGAGGTGGGAATTGTCCTGGATTTCCCAAAGGGGTTGGAGATCCTGGGGTTTGGGTTCCTCCAGTCGGGGATTCCGGCAGGTTCTCCACCTCTCCAAGATTCCCTTCCCGTAATTTTGGGGTTTTGGGGTCCTATCCCGGGTTTCTGGGCACGGATCAACTCCTTCGTCCTGCATCCTGAATTCCAAGGGCTCCTTGTTCCTTCAGGATGCCAAAAAACCTCACCAGGACCTTCAGGATCCCAAAAATCTTCACCAGGACCCTTAGGATCCCAAAAAAACACCAACAGGACCCTCAGGATTCCAAAATACCTCAGCAGGACCCCCGGGACCCCAAAAACCACAAAAACCAAATCAAAAACCACAGCAGGACCTTCAGGATCTAAAAAAACCCCAACAGGACCCTTGGGATCCCCCAAAAAAACATAAAAGGACCGTCAGGATCTCCAAAAACCCCAAAAGGACCCTCAGGACCCCAAAAAACTCCATCAGGACCTTCAGGATCCCCAAAAAACCCCAAAAGCACCTTCAGCATCCCAAGAAACCTCAGCAGAACGGTCAAGATCCCGAAAATTCCACCATGACCTTCAGAATCCCAAAAAAACCCCAAAAGAACCCTCAGGACCCCAAAAAAACCCCATCAGGACCTTCAGGATCCCAAAAACCTCCATCAGGACCTTCAGGACTCCAAAAAACCCCAGAAGGACCCTCAGCATCCCAAAAAACCTCAGCAGAACCATCAAGATCTCAAAAAAGCCATGGTAGGACCATCGGGACCCCAAAAAACCTCATGAAGACCTTCAGGATCCCCAAGAAAACCCAAAAGAACCTTCAGGATCCCAAAAACCTCCATCAGGACCTTCAGGACCCCCAAAAAACCCATCAGGACCATCAGGATCCCAAAAAACCTCAAAAGAACCCTCAGGAATCCCCCAAAACCCCAGAAGAACCCTCAGGAACCCCAAAGCCCCCCATGATGACCCCCCTGGTGGGTACCGGCTTCGCTGAGGAACTTCTCGCGGTTCTCGGGGCTGCAGTCCTTCTTGCAGGTCTTGACGGCCACCTCGATCTTCTCCCCCTTCTGCCGGGATGGGTGGGAAAAGCGGGAATGGGACGCCGGCAATTCGGGAATTGGGATTTGGGATCATGGAGAAGGGAAGGGTGGTGGGATCTCACCAGGGTGGAGGAGAAGGGACGGGTGGTGGAATCTCACCAGAGTGGAGAAGGGAAGGGTGGTGGGATCTCACCAAGGTGATGGAGAAGGGAAGGGACGGATGGTGGGATCTCACCAGGTTGGTGTGAGAAGGGAAGGGTGGTGGGATCTCACCAAGGTGATGGAGAAGGGAAGGGTGGTGGGATCTCACCAGGGTTCAGAAGGGAAGGGTGGTGGGATCTCACCGGGGTGATGGAGAAGGGAAGGGCGGTGGGATCTCACCAGGGAGGAGAAGGGAAGGGTGGTGGAATCTCACCGGGGTTTGTGAGAAGGGAAGGGTGGTGGGATCTCACCGGGGTTTGTGAGAAGGGAAGGGTGGTGGGATCTCACCGGGGTGATGGAGAAGGGAAGGGTGGTGGGATCTCACCGGGTTGGAGGAGAAGGGACGGGTGGTGGGATCTCACCAGGGTGAGAAGGGAAGGGTGGTGGCATCTCACCGGGGTGGAGAAGGGAAGGGAAGGGTGGTGGGATCTCACTGGGTTGGTGTGAGAAGGGAAGGGTGGTGGGACCTCACCAGGGTTCAGAAGGGAAGGGTGGTGGGATCTCACCGGGGTGGAGGAGAAGGGAAGGGTGGTGGGATCTCACCAGGGTGGAGAAGGGAAGGGTGGTGGGATCTCACCGGGGTTTGTGAGAAGGGAAGGGAAGGGTGGTGGCATCTCACCGGGGTGTAGGAGAAGGGACGGGAAGGATGGTGGGATCTCATCATGGTGGTGTGAGAAGGGAAGGGTGGTGGGATCTCACCAGGTTGGTGTGAGAAGGGAAGGGTGGTGGGATCTCACCGGGGTGATGGAGAAGGGAAGGGTGGTGGGATCTCACCAGGGTGGAGAAGGGAAGGGTGGTGGGATCTCACCAGGGTTTGTGAGAAGGGAAGGGTGGTGGGATCTCACCAGGGTTCAGAAGGGAAGGGTGGTGGGATCCCACAAGGGTTGGAGAAGAGAAGGGTGGTGGGATCTCACCAGGGTGATGGAGAAGGGAAGGGAAGGGTGGTGGGATCTCACCGGGTTGGTGTGAAAAGGGAAGGGTGGTGGGATCTCATCAGGGAAGGGAAGGGTGGTGGGATCTCACCAGGGTTCAGAAGGGAAGGGTGGTGGGATCTCACCGGGTTGGAGGAGAAGGGAAGGGTGGTGGGATCTCACCAGGGTGATGGAGAAGGGACGGGAAGGATGGTGGGATCTCATCATGGTGGTGTGAGAAGGGAAGGGTGGTGGGATCTCACCAGGGTTCAGAAGGGAAGGGCGGTGGGATCTCACCAGGGTTCAGAAGGGAAGGGTGGTGGGATCTCACCGGGGTGATGGAGAAGGGACAGGAAGGATGGTGGGATCTCATCATGGTGGTGTGAGAAGGGAAGGGTGGTGGGATCTCACCGGCGTGGTGTAGGTGCCCTCGTAGACCTCTCCGAAGAACCCTTCGCCCAGGATGCGTCCCAGCGTCACGGCGTCGCGGCTGATCCCAAAGTGCTGGACTGGAACGGGAATGGGAACGGGGATGAGGAGATTCCGTGATCTTACCGGGAGATCCACCAGGAATGAGCACCTGGGAGGTGTCCATGGCTACCGAGGCTCTCAGGCCATGAGGATCCAGGAGGATCCATGAGGAGCCATGTGTCCTGCTCTCTCCATCCATGAGGATCCATGGATCTTCCCATCTCCATCCATGAAGGTCCATGAGGATCCATGAGGAGCCGTGACAATCCATCTCCATCCATGAGGATCCGTGAGGATCCATGGATCCTGCCATCTCCATCATTCCCACATGGATCCATGGATCCCGTCCTCTCCGTCCATGAAGATCCATGAAGGATCCATGAGGATCCATGGATCCTGCAGATCGCCAAAATTTCGACACGGATCCATGGATCCTCCCATCTCCATCCACGATGATTCATGAGGATCTGTGATGATCCGTGGATTCTCCAGTCTCCATCCATGATGATCCGTGAGGATCTGTGAAGATCCACAGATCCTGCCCTCTCCAAAATTCCCACATGGATCCATGGATCCTCCCATCTTGGATCCATGGATTGTCCCATCTCCATCCATGAAGATCCATGAAGGATCCATGAGGATCTGCGAGGACCCATGGCTCCTGGCCTCTCCAAAATTCCCACAGATCCTCCCATCTCCATCCATGAAGATCCATTATTATCTGTGAGGATCCATGGATCCTGCCCTCTCCAATATTCCCGCAAGGAGCCATGGATCCTCCCATCTCCATCCATGAAGGTCCGTGAGGATCCATGAGGAACCGTGACAATCCATCTCCATCCATGAGGATCCATGGATCCTGCCCCCTCCCATATTCCCACAAGGATCCATGGATTCTGCCATCTCCATCCATGAAGATCCATGAGGATCTGTGAGGATCCATGGATTCTGCCATCTCCATCCATGAAGATCCATGAGGATCTGTGAGGAGCCATGGATCCTGTCATCTCCATCCATGAAGATCCATGAGGATCTGTGAGGATCCATGGATCCTGTCATCTCCATCCATGAAGATCCATGAGGATCTGTGAGGATCCATGGATTCTGCAATCTCCATCCATGAAGATCCATGAGGATCTGTGAGGATCAATGGATTCTGCCATCTCCATCCATGAGGATCCATGGATCCTGCCCTCTCCATCCATGAGGATCCATGAGGATCTGTGAAGATCCATAGATCCTGCCCTCTCCATCATTCCCACAAGGATCCACAGATCCTGCTCTGTCCATCCATGAAGATCCATGAGCATCCATGAATCCTGCCCTCTCCATCCATGACAATGCATGAGGATCTGTGAGGAGCCATGACAATCCATGATTCTGTCCTCCCCATCCATGAGGATCCGTGAGGATCCATGGATCCCGTACTCTCCAAAATTCCCACATGGATCCATGGATCCTCCCACCTCCATCCATGAGGATCCATGAGGATCTGTGATGATCCATGGATCCTGCTTTCTCCATCCATGAGGATCCATGGATGCTGCTCTCTCAATCCATGAGGATCCATGAGGTTCCATGGATCCTCCCATCTCCATCCACAAAGATCCATGATGATCCATGAGGATCCATGAGGGTGCATGGATCCTGCCATCTCCAAAATTCCCACATGGATCCATGGATCCTCCCATCTCCATCCATGAGGATCCATGAGGAGCCGTGACAATCCATCTCCATCCATGAGGATCCATGAGGATCCATGGTGCCTCTCATCTCCAAAATTCCTACATCATCCATGGATCCTCCCATCTCCATCATCCCAGCTCCCCGAGGACCTTCTGAGAGCTTTGGTGAGCCTGGGACAGGAATTTGGGATGGGCAGGAGGAACTGCTGGAGAAACCCCATGGGAATCACCTACTTCCAGATCTCGGCCTCGAGGACTCGTCCAGGATTTCCGCATAAATTTCGGAATCTGGGGGAAAAAAACGGGATACGGGAATGGGATCAGGAAGCTTGGTGGTCCTCCAGCATCTCCAGAGGGTCTGGTGCTCCTCAAGGATGCTTGGATGCATCCCAACCCTCTGGAGAAGATCTGGGGGTGTCCAGAATTCCTGAATCCCGCACGGAACGTGTCCCAGACCGGGATGGTGGGAACGGGGATGGACTCACCGCCGCTGACGCTGTGGGACAGCGTGGAGAACCTCTCGCCGAGATTCCTGAGGGTGGGAACAGGGTCAGGGAGTGGGATCAGGGATGGGGAATGGGGAATGGGAACGGGATCCCGACCCCGCGATGGGAACGGGAATCCTGGGAAAAGGGTCGGGATCACTCACGGGGCCGGGATCTGCGGGAGGCTGATCCTCTTCTCGCGGTCTGCGGGGAGGATGGGGAAAGGTCCCATCCCATCCCAATCCCATCCCAATCCCATCCCAATCTCATTCCCATCCCAATCCCATCCCTTCCCATCTCATCCCATTATCCCATCCCTCCCATGCCAATCCCATTCCATCGCATGGATTCCATCTCATGCATCCCATCCCACCCCATCCCATTAATTCCATGTCATCCCATGGATCCCATCCCCTGGATCCCATCCCATCCCATCCCATCCCATCCCATCCCATCCCATCCCATCCCATGGATCCCATCCCATCCCATCCCATTAACTTCACCTCATCCCATGGATCCCATTCCAATCCCATCCCATTGATCCCATCCCATCCCAATCCCATCCCATGCATCCCATCCCACCCCATCCCATTAACTCCATGTCATCCCATGGATCCCATCCCCTGGATACCATCCCATCCCATTATCCCACCCCATCCTATCCCATGGATGCCATCCCATCGATCCCATCCCAATCCCATCCCATGGATCTCATCCCATGGATCCCATCCCATTTCTTTATCCCATTATCCCATTCCATCCCAATCCCATCCCATGATCCCAATCAATTGATTCCATCCCATTGATCTCATCCCATTCCATCCCATCTGATGGATCTCATCCCATCCCATCCCACCCCACCCCATCTCATGGATCCCATCCCATCCTGTCCCATGAATCCCATCCCATCCCATCCCATCCCATCCTATTATCCCATGGATCCCACCCCATTATCCCATCTCCTTGATCCCATCCTATTGATCCCATCCCATTATCCCATTACCCCATTATCCCACTATCCCATTACCCCATTATCCCACTATCCCATTATCCCATCATCCCATTATCCCCCTGTATCTCCATCCTTTCTCTCCATCCCATCCCATTATCCCATCCCCTGGATCCCATATCCCATGGATCCCATCCCACCCCATTATCCCATTATCCCATTATCCCATTATCCCATATCCCATAATCCCATACCCCATTATCCCATTATCCCATTACCCCATTATCCCATTATCCCATTCCATCCCATTACCCCATTATCCCATATCCCATTATCCCATATCCCATTATCCCATTATCCCATTATCCCATTATCCCATTATCCCATTCCATCCCATTACCCCATTATCCCATATCCCATTATCCCATTATCCCATTATCCCATTATCCCATTATCCCATTCCATCCCATTACCCCATTATCCCATTATCCCATTATCCCATTATCCCATTATCCCATTATCCCATTCCATCCCATTACCCCATTATCCCATATCCCATTATCCCATTATCCCATTACCCCATTATCCCATTACCCCACCCCAATCCCTCTACCCCACCGTGCCCCATTCCCACCTTTCCTGGGGAAGGCGATCAGCGATGTCTCCGTGCCCCCCTGGAGCCGGCAGTAACCGTCGATGAGGTCGGCCATGTTCTCCGCCTCGGCCAGCGACGACGTCCGGATCGACAGCGACTGGGAATAACGGGATGGGAACATGGGATTGGGGTCACCCCTTCTGCCCAATCCCATTATCCCATGGATCGGGGTCACCCCTTCTCCCTGATCCCATACCGGCATCCCATGGATCGGGGTCACCCCTTCTGCCCGATCCCATCCCACCCATCCCATGGATCGGGGTCACCCCTTCTCCCCAATCCCAGCATCCCATGGATCGGGGTCACCCCCTCTCCCCAGTCCCACCCCATGGATCGGGGTCACCCCTTCTCCCCAATCCCATCTCATCATCCCATGGATCAGGGTCACCCCTTCACCCCGATCCCATCCCATGGATCAGGGTCACCCCTTCTCCTCAATCCCATCCCCGTATCCCATGGATCAGGGTCACCCCTTCTCCCTGATCCCATCCCATGGATCGGGGTCACCCCTTGTCCCAAATCCCATCCTGCCCACCCCATGGATGGGGGTCACCCCTTCTGCCCAATCTCACTTTTGCAAAACCACCCATCCCAGTATTCCATGACACCCAGGATAACACCAAAGATATGGGATATGGGATATGGGATATGGGATATGGGATAGGGGATATGGGATATGGGATATGAGATATGAGATATGGAATAGGGGATAGGGGATATGGGATATGGGATATGGGATACCGGTATGGGATATGAGATATGGAATATGGGATAGGGGATAGGGGATATGGGATATGGAATATGGGATGTGGGATACAGGATATGGGATATGGGATAGGGGATATGGGATATGGGATATGGGATATGGGATATGGGATATGGGATAGGGGATATGGGATACAGGATATGGGATATGGGATAGGGGATATGGGATATGGGATATGGGATATGGGATATGGGATATGAGATATGGAATAGGGGATAGGGGATATGGGATATGGGATATGGGATATGGGATATGGGATATGGGATGTGGGATGTCGGATGTGGGATACGGGATAGGAGATATGGGATGTGGGATGAGATATGGGATATGGGATGTGGTACATGGGATATGGGATACGACATTCCCAGGAATTCTCTCCCAGTTCCTCACCTGGGGGGTCCCGCCCAGCCCCAGCTGCAGCAGAGCCTGTCCATCCTCTGTGGTGGAGCACCGGATGGATTTGATATCCCGGAATTCTGCCAGGCAGGTGGGCTGGGAAGGGGGGAATTAATCAGGAATTCCATCTGTGGGAGGTTTCATCCCTGACCCTGAGGGGACAGTTCCCAATTCCCAGCTGGAATTCCCACCTTGGTGTCCGTGCTGGTCACCTGGCGGATGCCCTTAGGGCCGATCACCAGGTCCACGGTGATGTTCCATCCTTGCTGGGGGCAGCAGGAGCAGGAGCGGGATTTGGTATGAGGGGCATTCCCAAAGGTCAGGCTCCATCCCAATCCCTCTCCATTAAATCCCAACCCTGCCCTCATCCCATCTCCAGCTCACTCTGCCCCATTCTATTGCCATCTGCCACGTCTGTTCCAAGTGTGTCCCATCCCATATGCCATATCCCATCACACCCCATCCCATATCCCATATCCCCTATCCCATATCCCATATCCCACATCCCGTATCCCATATCCCATATCCCATATCCCATATCCCATATCCCCTATCCCATATCCCATATCCCACATCCCACATCCCATATCCCATATCCCATATCCCATATCCCACATCCCATATCCCATATCCCATATCCCATATCCCATATCCCACATCCCACATCCCATATCCCATATCCCCCCATATCCCATATCCCAAATCCCATATCCCAAATCCCATATCCCATATCCCACATCCCCTATCCCATATCCCATATCCCCTATCCCATATCCCACATCCCACATCCCACATCCCCTATCCCATATCCCACATCCCACATCCCACATCCCCTATCCCATATCCCACATCCCACATCCCACATCCCCTATCCCATATCCCACATCCCACATCCCATATCCCCTATCCCACATCCCATATCCCATATCCCATATCCCCTATCCCATATCCCATATCCCACATCCCATATCCCATATCCCATATCCCATATCCCATATCCCACATCCCACATCCCCTATCCCATATCCCACATCCCCTATCCCATATCCCACATCCCACATCCCATATCCCCTATCCCCTATCCCATATCCCACATCCCCTATCCCATATCCCACATCCCACATCCCATATCCCCTATCCCATATCCCATATCCCATATCCCATATCCCATATCCCATATCCCAAATCCCATATCCCATATCCCATATCCCATATCCCACATCCCACATCCCACATCCCACATCCCATCTCCCACATCCCACATCCCATATCCCATATCCCATATCCCATATCCCATATTCAAAATCCCATATCCCGTTTCCGGTCACTCACGACGAGCTGGCATCGGAAGCTTTCCTGATCGATGGGGGCGAAGGTGCTCAGGGTGTGCAGGAATTTCAGGATGCACTCCTCCTCCCGCAGCAGCGCGTACTGCTGGAACGTCTGCTGGATCATCTTCCGCAGCTGCCGCGGCTGATGGGACAACAGTGGGACATCGGGAACGAGAACGCCGGGATTGGGGTGGGATATGGGAATGGGGCGTTGGATACAGGAACAGTGGGATGGACACGATGTTGGGTTTGGGAACACTGGGATGGAGACAGTGTAGGGTACGGGAATGCTGGGATGGACAGTGTTGGATATGGGAATTTGGTGTTGGATTTGGGAATGGTGGGATGGACACAGTGTTGGGTTTGGGAACACCAGGATGGGGGTGAAGGCATACTGCTCGAACATCTGCAGGATCATCTTCTGCAGCTGCCGCGGCTGACGGAACACCACCGGGACATCAGGAATGGGAACGGGAATGCCGGGATTGGGGTGGGATATGGGAATAGGGGGATGGACATGGTGGTAGATACAGGAACAGGGCATTGGATATAGGAACAGCAGGATGGACACGGTGTTGGGTTTGGGAACGCTGGGATGGGGCCAGTGTGGGATACAGGAACACCAGGATGCAGATGGTGTTAGGTTTGGGAACACTGGGATGGACACAGTGTTGGATATAGGAACAGTGGGATGGACATGGTGCTGGCTACAGGAACACTGGGATTGGGGCTGAGTGGGATATGGGAATGGGGCATTGGATATGGGAACGGCAGGATGGACACAGTGTTGGGTTTGGGAATGCCAGGATGGAGGCGGTGTGCGATATGGGAACACCAGGATGGACGTGGTGTTGGATACAGGAACAGGGTGTTGGATATGGGAATGTGGGATGGACACGGTGTCAGGTTTGGAAACACCGGGATCAGGGCGGTGTGGGATATGGGAACACCAGGATGGACACAGTGTCCAATACGGGAACACCAGGATGGGGATGGTAGCGGATACAGGAACACCGGGATGGATGCAGCATCGGGTACGGAAACGGTGGGATGGGGGTGGTGTGGGGTATGGGAATGCTGGAATGGGGGCAGTGTGGGGTGCAGGAACATCCGGATGGGGATGGCATGGGATATGGGAACAGGGCGTTGGATATGGGAACAGCGGGATGGACACGGTATAGGATATGGGAACAGGGAGATGGGAATGGTATGGGATATGGAAACATTGGGAATGGGGCAGTGTGGGGTACGGGAATGCCGGGATGGCGGCGGTATCCAATATGGGAACACCAGGATGGGAGCGGACACATGAACATAGGAGCTGTGGGGGGATAGGGGCACAGGGACGCACAGAAGGACACACAGGGACACACAGGGACACACAGGGACACACATATGGACACTCACATGGACACACAGACACAGGGACACGTGGACACATAGAGGGACACGCAGACACACAGTGACACACACGGACACACACAGGGACACACAAGGAGACATGGACATACGGACACACGTGGACACAGAGGGATACATGGACACATGGACACACAGGGACACACAGGGGACACACAGGGGACACACAGGGGACATACATGGACACACAGAGGGACACACAGACATACAGACACACATGGACACACAGACACATGGACACCCATGGACATATGGACACCATGGGCATACAGAGACACGCGGAGGGACACACAGACACACACACGGACACAGGGACACAGGGACACAAGGACACACAAGGAGATAGGGACACATGGACACACAGGGACACACACACAGACACACGGACACACAGGGACACACAGAGACACACGGACATCCAGACAAAGATGGACACACAGACACATGGACACATGGACACCCAAGGACACACGGACACACATGGACACACAGGGACACAAGGACACACAGAGACACACAGGGACACATGGACACACACAGAGGGACACATATGGGCACACAGACACGTGGACACACAGACACACAAGGACATACACAGGGACACACGGACACACAGACACACAAGGACATACACAGGGACACACGGATACACAGGGACACACAGGGACACACACAGGGGACACACAGGGGACATACATGGACACAGGGACACGCAGAGGGACACACAGACACACACATGGACACAGGGACACATGGACACACAAGGAGATAGGGATACATGGACACACAGGGACACACACACAGACACACGGACACACAGGGACACACAGAGACACACGGACATCCAGACAAAGATGGACACACAGACACATGGACGCATGGACACACAGGGACACAGAGGGACACAAGGACACACAGGGACACACAGAGACACACGGACATCCAGACAAAGATGGACACACAGACACATGGACGCATGGACACACAGGGACACAGAGGGACACACTGACACATGGACACACAGAGACACACGGACATCCAGACAAAGATGGACACACAGACACATGGACGCATGGACACACAGGGACACAGAGGGACATACTGACACATGGACACACAGAGACACACGGACATCCAGACAAAGATGGACACACAGACACATGGACGCATGGACACACGGACACAGAGGGACACACTGACACATGGACACACAGAGACACACGGACATCCAGACAAAGATGGACACACAGACACATGGACGCATGGACACACAGGGACACAGAGGGACACACTGACACATGGACACACAGAGGGACACAGACAAGGACACACACAGACACACATGGACACACGGACACACAAGGAGACACGGACACAGGTACACAGACACATGGACACACAGGGACACACATGGACATGGACACACGGACACACAGGGACACACACATATGGACACTCACATGGACACACAGACACACACATGGACACTTGGACACGCGGGGCGTGGTCACACATGTCCCTGGTGCCACAGCCGTGCCACACCCAGGTGTCCCTCACCTTGAGGTTCTCCAGCATCTGGCTGGGGAAGAACAGGTCCAGCCCCACCTCCTTCCTGCAGGGGACAGAGAATGCCGGGAATGTCAGCGGGAATATCCAGAACAGCCAGGAGGGGAGGGGACGGGGGATGAGGAGATGAGCGAGGATGAGGAGGATGAGGAGATGAGGGAGGATGAGGAGGAAGAGGAGCATCAGGAGGATGAGGAGAATGAGGAAGATGAGGAGGATGGGGAGCTGCAGGAGGATGAGGAGAATGAGGAGGATGAGGAGGAAGAGGAGCATCAGGAGGATGAGGAGAATGAGGAAGATGAGGAGGATGGGGAGCTGCAGGAGAATGAGGAAAATGAGGAAGATGAGGAGGATGGGGAGCTGCAGGAGGATGATGAAGATGTGGAGGATGAAGAGTAGCAGGAGACTGAGGAGGATGAGGAGGATGAGGAGGATGAGGAGGATGAGGAGGATGAGGAAGATGAGGAGGATGAGGAAGATGAGGAGGATGAGGAGGATGAGGAATAGCAGGAGGATGAGAAGGATGAGGAGATGAGGGAGGATGAGGAAAATGAGGAGCATCGGGAGGATGAGGGGTAGGAGGAGAATGAGGAGGAAGATAAGGAACATGAGGAGGATGATGAAGATGAGGAGGATAAGGAGTAACAGGAGGAGGATGAAAAGGATAAGGAGGATGATGAAGATGAGGAGGATGAGGAGTAGCAGGAGCAGAGGTCCAGCCCCACCTCCTTCCTGCAGGGGACAGAGAATGCCGGGAATGTCAGCGGGAATTCCCATCCCAAAGAGGAGGGGAGCGGGGCTGAGGGGGGGCCCGGGAGGAACGGGGGGGATGAGGAGATGAGGGAGGATGAGGAGGATGAAGGAGGATAAGGAGTTGCAGGAGGATGAGGGAGGATGAGGAGCATTAGGAGGATGAGGAGTAGCAGGAGAATGAAGAGGAAGATAAGGAACATGAGGAGGATGATGAAGATGAGGAGGATGAGGAGGATGAGGAGCAGCAGGAGAATGAAGAGGAAGATAAGGAACATGAGGAGGATGATGAAGATGAGGAGGATGAGGAGGATGAGGAGAATGAGGAGGATGAGGAGGATGATGAAGATGAGGAGGATGAGGAATGGCAGGAGGATGAGGAGGAAGATAAGGAAGATGAGGAGGATGATGAAGATGAGGAGGATGAGAAGGTTGGGGAGTAGCAGGAGGAGGATGAACAGAATGAGGAAGACGAGGACAACGAGGAGCTGCAGGAGGATGAGGAGGAAGATAAGGAAGATGAGGATGATGAGCAAGAAGATAAGGAAGATGAGGAGGGTGACGAGAATGAGGAGGATGAGGAGGATGAAGAGGACGAGGAGGATGAGGAGCATCAGGAGGATGAGGAGTAGCAGGAGGAGGATTATGAAGATGAGGAGGATGAGGAGTTGAGCAAGGATGAGAGGAGTAGCAGGAGAATGATGAAGATGAGGAGGATTATGAAGATGAGGAGGATGAGGAGGATGTGGAGAATGAAGAGGATGAGGAGTAGCAGGAGGAGGATGATGAAGATGAGGAGGATGAGGAGTAGCAGGAGCAGAGGTCCAGCCCCACCTCCTTCCCATGGAGGGACAGAGAATGCCGGGAATGTCAGCGGGAATTCCCATCCCAAAGAGGAGGGGAGCGGGGCTGAGGGGGAGCCCGGGAGGAACGGGGGGGATGAGGAGATGAGGGAGGATGAGGAGGATGAAGGAGGATAAGGAGTTGCAGGAGGATGAGGGAGGATGAGGAGCATTAGGAGGATGAGGAGTAGCAGGAGAATGAGGAGAATGAAGAGAATGAAGAGAATGAAGAGAATGAAGATAAGGAACATGAGGAGGATGATGAAGATGAGGAGGATGAGGAGGATGAGGAGCAGCAGGAGAATGAGGAGGAAGATAAGGAACATGAGGAGGATGATGAAGATGAGGAGGATAAGGAGTAACAGGAGGAGGATGAGAAGGATGAGGAGGATGAGGAGAAGCAGGAGCAGAGGTCCAGCCCCACCTCCTTCCCATGGAGGGACAGAGAATGCCGGGAATGTCAGCGGGAATTCCCATCCCAAAGAGGAGGGGAGCGGGGCTGAGGGGGAGCCCGGGAGGAACGGGGGGGATGAGGAGATGAGGGAGGATGAGGAGGGTGAGGAGCCACAGGAGGATGATGAAGATGAGGAGGATGAGGAGTAGCAGGAGAATGAAGAGGATGAAGAGGATTAGAAGGATGAGGAAGATGAGCAGGATGAGGAGGATGATGATGAATAAGAGGAGGATGAGGAGTAACAGGATAAGAAGGATGAGGAGTAGCGGGAGGAAGATGAGGAGGATGAGGAGTAACAGAAGGAGGATGAGGAGGTAGATAAGGAAGATGAGGAGGATGAGGTGGATGAGGAGGATGATGAAGATGAGGGGGAGGAGGATGAGGAGGATCAGGATCAGGAGATGTGGGAGGATGAAGAGCTGCAGGAGGATGAGGAACCACAGGAGGATGATGAAGATGAGGAGGATGATGAAGATGAGGAGGATGATGAAGATGAGGAGGTTGAGGAGCATCAGGAAGATGAGGAGTAGCAGGAGAATGAGGAGGATGAAGAGGATGAGGAGCATCAGGAGCATCAGGAGGATGATGACGATGAGGAGAGTGAGGAGGATAAGGAGGATGAGGAGGATGAGGAGGATGAGAAGATGCAGTAGGACGAGGAGGAAGATAAGGAAGATGAGGAGGATGAGGAATTGCAGGATGACAAAGATGAGGAGGAAGAGGAGGATGAGGAGGATGAGGAATAGCAGGATGAGGAGTGAGGAGTAGCAGGAGGATGACGAGGATGATGAAGATGAGGAGGATGAGGAGGATGAGGAGGATGAGGAGGATGAGGAGGATGAGAAGGATGATGAAGAAGAGAAGGATGATGAAGATTAGGAGGATGATGAAGATGATGAAGATGATGAGGATGGTGAAGATGAGGATGATGAGGAGGATGAGGAGATTGAGGAGGATGATGAAGATGAGAAGGATGAGGAATTGCAGGAGGATGCTGAAGATGATGAAGATCACGATGAGGATGAGGAGGGCGAGGAAGGCCCTCAGTGTGTCCCCAGCCCCAGGGTCGGGCGGTGGCTCTGGGCTGGACTCACTCCAGGAACTCGAAGTTGGATTTCTTGTCCAGCGCGTTCTGGGGCATGTCCTTGTAGAACCTCCTGGGGACAGGGGACACAGCCTGTGACACACGGCCTCATGTCCCCCATGTCCCCATGTCCCCCAGGTCCCCATGTCCATGTCCCTCCATGTCCCAGTGTCACCCATGTCACTCTGTGTCCCCCATGTCCCTCCATGTCCCCATGTCCCTCCATGTCCCCGTGTCCCCACATCCCCCATGTCCTTGTAGAACCTTCTGGGGACAGGGGACAAGGACACAGACCCTGACACATGGCACCATGTCCCCCATGTCCCCCATGTCCCCATGTCCTTCATGTCCATGTCCCTCCATGTCCCAATGTCACCCATGTCACTCTGTGTCCCCCATGTCCCCCATGTCCCTCCATGTCCCCATGTCCCCACATCCCCCATGTCCTTGTAGAACCTTCTGGGGACAGGGGACAGGGACACAGACCCTGACACATGGCACCATGTCCCCCATGTCCCCATGTCCCTCCATGTCCCCATGTCCCCACATCCCTCATGTCCTTGTAGAACCTCCTGGGGACAGGGACACAGCCTGTGACACATGGCACCATGTCCCCCATGTCCCTGTGTCCCCATGTCCCCATGCCCCCGTGTCCGCATGTCCCCATGTCCATGTGCCTCCATGTCCCCCCATGTCCCCACATCCCTCAAGTCCTTGTAGAACCTCCTGGGGACAGGCACACGGGGACACCAGCCCGTGACACAGGCCACCATGGCATCATGTCCCCATGTCCCCATGTCCTTCATGTCCCCGTGTCCCCACATCCCTGTGTCCTTCATGTCCCTCCATGTCCCTCCATGTCCCCCATGTCCCTATGTCCCAATGTCCCTCCATGCCCCTCCATGACCCTCATGACTCCCATGTCTCCATGTCCCTCCATGCCCCTCATGTCCTTCATGTCCCCATGTCCCAGTGTCCCTCATGTCCCTCCATGTCCCCAAGTCCCTCCATGTCCCCATGTCACCCGTCTCCCCACATCCCCCATGTCACCCATGTCCCCCCATTGTCATATTCCCCATTCCTCCATGTCCCTCGTGTTCCCCTTGTCCCCATTTTCCTCCATGTGCCTCATGTCCTTCATGACCCCACGTCCCAGTGTCCCTCATGTCCCTCCATGTCCCCATGTTCCTCCATGCCCCCTGTGTCCCCCATGTCCCCATGTCCCCATGTCCCCCATGTCCCCATGTCCCCCATGTTCCCACATCCCCCATGTCCTCCATGACCCCCATGTCCCCCATGCCCCCAGGTCCCCCATGTCCCCATGTTCTTCCATGTCCCCTGTGTCCCCCATGTCCCCATGTCCCCATGTCCCCATGTCCCCCCTGTCCCCATGTCCCCCATGTCCCCATGTTCCTCCATGTCCCCTGTGTCCCCCATGTCCCCATGTCCCCCATGTCCCTCCATCTCCATATTCCCTGTCCCTCCATGTTCCTCCATGTCCCCCATGTCCCCCATGTCCCCATGTCCCTCTATGTCCCCAGGTCCCTCCATGTCTCCATGTCCCCACCACATGCCCCACGTCTCCATATCCCCCATGTCCCCCATATCCCACATGTCCCCAACGTCCCTCCATGTCCCCATGTCCCTCCATGTCCTCATGTCCCCCATGTCTCCATGTCCCCTATTTCCCTCATGACCCCCTTGTCTCCATGTCCCCATGTCCCTCCACATCCTCATGTCCCCCATGATTCAATATCCCCCATCCCTCCATCCTCCCACGTCCCCCTGTCCCTCCAAGTTCCCCCATGTCCCTCCATGTCCCCACATCCCTGTGTCCCTCATGTCCTCCATGTCCCTCCATGTCCTCCATGTCCCTCATGTCCTTCCACATCCCTCCATGTCCCTCATGCTCCCCATGTCCCCCATGTCCCAATGTCCCTCCATGTCCCCCATGTCTCCATGTTTGCCATGTCCCTCCATGCCCCCCATGTCCCCATGTCCCCATGTCCCCATGTCCTCCATGTCTCCACGTCCTCATGTCCCTCCATGTCCCCCACATCCCCCCTGTCCCCACATTGCCCATGCCCCCTATGTCCCTCCATGTCTCTCCATGTCCCCATGTCTCTCCACGTCCCCACCATGTGCCCCACCTCTTCATGTCTCCCATGTCCCCATGTCCCTCCATCTCCCCATGCCCCCTATGTCCCCATGTCCCTCCATGTCCCCCATGTCCCTCCATGTCCCCCAGGCCCTCCTGCCACCCCCAAAGGAGCTGGAACTTCCCTCCCCAAACCCACAAGGACAGAAGGACACAGAGGACATGGGGACAAGGGACACAGGGACAGGGGGACACGAAGACAGAAGGACAGAAGGACACAGGTTCACAGGGAACATAGGGACACAAAGACACAGGGACAGGGAACGTGGGGACAAGGGGACACAGGGACACCGGACCAGAGGACATGGGGCCAGGGGACACATGGGGAGAAGGGGAAACCAGGCCTGGAGACACAAGGGGACAGGGGACAGTGAGACACAAAGACACAGGGACAGAGGGACACACAGGGACAAGGGGACACAGGGACAGGGGACACGGGGACAGAAACACACAGGGGCACAAGGACACAAGGATACATGGACACAAAGACACTGGGACACAGGGCCAGGGCACATGGGGACAAGGGACGTGGACAGGGGACATGGGGACACAAAGACGCAGGTTCACAGGGACAGAGGGACACATGGGGACACGGGGACACAAGGGGACAAGGGGACACAGGGACACACAAGGACACACAAGGACACAGGGCCGGGGGACACAAGGGAACAAGGAGACACGGGGACACAAAGGGACACAGGGCCAGGGGACACATGGGGACAAGGGGACACAGGGACAAAACAACACGGAGACACAAGGACACACGGAAACAGGGGACACCAGGGGACACAAAGGGACACCAGGGGACATCAGGGGACAGTCGTACCTGAGCTGGAGGCAGCTCAGCTGCAGCGCCAGGTACACAAGGGGACAAGGGCACAAAGTGACACAGGGACACAAGGGGCAGGGGACAGCAGGGGACAAGGCCACAGGGACAAAACCACACGGGGACAGAAAGACACAAAGACACAGGGCCAGGGGACAAGGGGACACATGGGGACAAAGGGACACAGGAGACACTAGGGGACAGGAGGGGACATGGGGGGACACCAGGGGACAGGAGGGGACGCAAAGGACATCAGAGGACACAGGGGGACATCAGGGGACAGGAGGAGACACAGGGGACATCAGGTGACAAGGAGATACAGGGACAAAATGACACAGAGACATAAAGATACAAAGACACAGGGCCAGGGGACAAGGGGACACATGGGGACAAAGGGACACCAGGGGACACATGGGGACACCAGGGGACAGCCATACCTGAGCTGGAGGCAGCCCACCTGCAGCACCAGGGACACAAGGGGACAAGGGGACAAAGTGACACAAAGGGACAAGGGACAGGGGACACCAGGGGACACCAGGGGACACAAAGGGACACCAGGGGATAGGAGGGGACACAGGTGACACAAGGGACTGTAGCTGAGCTCGAGGCAGCCCAGCTGCAGCGCTGGGGACAGAAGGGGACAAAGTGACACAAAGTGACACAAGGGGATACAGAGACACAAGGGACAGGGGACACAAAGGGACACAGAGGGAACACCAGGGGACACCAGGGGACATTAGGGGACACAGGTGACACCGTACCTGAGCTGGAGGCAGCCCAGCTGCAGCGCCAGGGACACAAGGGGACAGGGACAGAGTGACACAGGGACAAAGTGACCCAAAGACATAAGGGGCAGGGGACACGGGGGACACCAGGGGACACCAGGGGACACCAGGGGACACAAAGGGACATCAGGGGACATGAGGGGACACAGGTGACACCGTACCTGAGCTGGAGGCAGCCCAGCTGCAGCGCCAGGGACACAAGGGGACAGGGACAGAGTGACACAGGGACACAAAGACACAGGGACAGGGGACACAGGGGGACATGAGGCGAACACAGAGGACACAAAGGGACATGAGGGGACATGAGGGGACACAGGTGACACGGTACCGGAGCTCGAGGCAGCCCAGCTGCAGCGCCATGCCCTCGCTGACCTTGCTGGCGTAGCTCTGCATGTACTCGCTGCGGAGCTGGGGACAGCGGGGACAGTGGGGACACTGGGGACACCCAGGGACACCCAGGGGACAGTGGGGACACCCAGGGGACAGTGGGGACACCCAGGGGACAGCGGGGACACTGGGGACACCCAGGGGACAGTGGGGACACTGGGGACACTGGGGACACCCAGGGGACAGTGGGGACACCCAGGGACACCCAGGGGACAGTGGGGACACTGGGGACACTGGGGACACCCAGGGACACCCAGGGGACAGTGGGGACACCCAGGGACACCCAGGGGACAGTGGGGACACCAGGGACACTGGGGACACCCAGGGGACAGTGGGGACAGTGGTGACACCCAGGGACACCCAGGGACACCCAGGGACACCCAGGGACACCCAGGGACAGTGCGTCACCACGGGGACAGTGGGGACAGTGGGGACACCCAGGGACACCCAGGGACACCCAGGGACACCCAGGGACACCCAGGGACAGTGCGTCACCGCGGGGACAATGGGGACAGTGGGGCCACCCGGGGACATCAGGGGACAGTAGGGGATGGCAGGGGACAGCAGGGGACAATAGGGACACCAGGGAGACCCGGGCACAGTGTGTCACTGTGGGGACACCCAGGGACAGCAGGGACAGCAGGGACAGTGGTGACACCCAGGGACACCAGGGAGGCCCAGGGACAGCGCGTCACTGTGGGGACAATGGGGACACTGGGGAGAGTAGGGACACCAGGGACAGCCGGGGGACAGCGGGGACACCCTGGAACAGTGTGTGTGACAGTGGGGACAGTGGGGACACCCAGGGACGGCGCGTCAGGGGGCACAATGGGGACAGCAGGGGACAGCGTGTCACCACGGGGACAAAAAATGGGGACATCTGGGACAGCCGGGGGACAGTGGGGGACGGAGTGTCACCCTGGGGACAATGGGGACAGTGGGGTCAGTAGGGACAGATTTGGGGACAGTAGGGACAGCGTCACCGCGGGGACAATGGGGACAGTGGGGCCACCCGGGGACACCCAGGGACACCCAGGGACAGTGCGTCACCACGGGGACAGTGGGGACAGTGGGGACACCTGGGGACACGCAGGGACAGCGTATCACCGCGGGGACAGTGGGGACAGTGGGGACAGCAGGGACACCCGGGGACACGCAGGGACAGCAGGGACAGTGGTGACACCGGGACACCCAGGGACAGCATGTCACCGCGGGGACAATGGGGACAGTGGGAACACCGAGGGACAGCAGGGGACAGCAGGGGACAGCAGGAGACACCCAGGGACACCAGGGAGACCCAGGGACAGCGTGTCACCGCGGGGACAATGGGGACAGTTGGGGACATCCAGGACACCCAGGGCTGCTCAGGGACACTGGGGGACAGGGCATCACCACAGGGACAATGGGGACACCTGAGGGACAGCGGGGACAGTGGGGACACCCAGGGGACACCCAGGGGACACCCAGGGACAGCACATCACCGCTGGGACAATGGGGACAGTGGGGACACTCAGGACACCCAGGGACAGCGCTTCACCATGGGGACACTGGGGACAATGGGGACAGCAGGGACAGTGGTGACACCCAGGGACACCCAGGGACACCCAGGGACAGCGCGTCACCGCTGGGACAATGGGGACAGTGGGGACAGCGGGGACAGCAGGGGGCTGTGACAGAGATGGTGACAGGCCATCCCTGGATGTCCCTGAGCATCCCTGGACGTCCCACTGACCATTCCCACCACCAGGACGGTGCCACCACCGCCACCCCAAGCCGCCAAAACCTCGGGAATTCCGGGAATTTCAGGAATTTCGGGAACTTCGGGAATTTCGGGAATTTCTGGGGGGGGAATTTTGTGAATTTTTTCAGGGGAATTTTGGGAATTTTTTCGGGAATTTTGGGAATTTTGGAATTTTTGGGAATTTTGGGAATTTTGGAAAGTTCATGAATTTCGGGATTTTTGGGAATTTTTGGAATTTCGTGAATTTTTGGGGGGAATGTCGTGAATTTTTTCGGGAATTCCGGGAATTCCGGGAATTCCGGGAATTTTGGGAAGTTCATGAATTGTGGGAATTGTGGGAATTTAGGGAATTCTGGAAATTTCAGGAATTTCCGGAATTTCCAGAATTTCAGGAATTCCGGGAATTTCAGGGATTTTGGGAATTTTTTCGAGAATTCCGTGAATTTCGGGAATGCCGGGAATCCGGGGTCCCCGGAGCAGCCCTGACCTGCTGGTAGAAGTAGAGCAGCGTGGTCCGGTCCTCCTTGAGGCTCTCCAGGAAATCCTCGGGCAGGTACCGGATCTGCAGGTCGTACCTGGGTGGGGACACCAAAACCCCCCCGTGATGCCACCACCGGGGACAGCGGGGACGACGGCGACAATGGGGACAATGTGGGGACAAAGGGGACAATGGGCACAAAGGGGAAAAGGGGACAAAGGGGACAATGTGGGGACAATGTGGGGACAAAGGGGAAAGGGGGACAATGGGGACAATGGGGACAATGGGACAAAGGGGACAAAGGGGACAATGTGGGGACAATGGGGACAAAGGGGAGAATGGGGAGAATGGGGACAATGGGACCATGGGAACAATGGGACAAAGGGGACAAAGGGGACAATGTGGGGACAATGGGGACAATGTGGGGACAATGTGGGGACAATGCTGACAATGGAGACAATGTGGGGACAGCAGGAACAAAGGGGACAATGGGAACAATTGGGACAATAGGGACAAACGGGACAAAGAGGATAATGTGGGGACAAAGGGGACAATGGGGACAATGTGGGGACAACGGGAACAAAGGGGACAATGTGGGGACAATGGGGACAGTGGGGACAAAGGGGACAATGGGGCCAATGGGGACAATGTGGGGACAATGGGGATAAAGGGGACAAAGAGATAAAGGGGACAATGTGGGGACAATGTGGGGACAATGGGGACAATGGGAAAATGGGAAGAATGGGACAAATGGGACAAAGGGGACAAAAGGGACAATGGGGACAATGGAACAAAGGGGACAATGTGGGGACAAAGGGGACAAAGGGGACAAAGGGGACAATGGGGACAATGGGACAAAGGGGACAATGTGGGGACAAAGGGGACAATGTGGGGACAAAGGGGGCAATGGGGACAATGTGGGGAAAAAGGGGACAATGGAGCCAATGGGGCCAATGGGGACAAAGGGGACAATGGGGACAACGTGGGGACAATGTGGGGACAATGGGGACAAAGGGGACAATGTGGGGACAATGTGGGGACAATGTGGGGACAATGGGGACAATGTGGGGACAATGTGGGGACAAAGGGAACAATGTGGGGACAAAGGGGACAATGTGGGGACAATGTGGGGACAATGGGGTCAAAGGGGACAATGGGGACAATGTGGGGACAATGTGGGGACAACGGGGACAATGGGGACGATGGGGACAAAGGGGATAGTGGGGACAATGGGGACAATGGGGACAATGTGGGGACAATGTGGGGACAATGTGGGGACAATGGGGACAATGTGGGGACAATGTGCGGACAAAGGGAACAATGTGGGGACAATGGGGACAATGTGGGGACAATGTGGGGACAACGGGGACAATGGGGACGATGGGGACAAAGGGGATAGTGGGGACAATGGGGACAATGGGGACAATGTGGGGACAATGTGGGGACAACGGGGACAACAGCGGCAATGTGGGGACAATGGGGACAACGTGGGGACAATGTGGGGACAACGGCGACAATGGGGACAATGGGGCCAATGGGGACAAAGGGGACAATGTGGGGACAATGGGGACAATGTGGGGACAATGTGGGGACAACGGGGACAATGGGGACGATGGGGACAAAGGGGATAGTGGGGACAATGGGGACAAAGGGGACAATGTGGGGACAATGTGGGGACAATGGGGACAATGGGGACGATGGGGACAATGTGGGGACAATGTGGGGACAACGGGGACAATGGGGACGATGGGGACAAAGGGGATAGTGGGGACAATGGGGACAATGGGGACAATGTGGGGACAATGTGGGGACAATGTGGGGACAATGGGGACAATGTGGGGACAATGTGCGGACAAAGGGAACAATGTGGGGACAATGGGGACAATGTGGGGACAATGTGGGGACAACGGGGACAATGGGGACGATGGGGACAAAGGGGATAGTGGGGACAATGGGGACAATGGGGACAATGTGGGGACAATGTGGGGACAACGGGGACAACAGCGGCAATGTGGGGACAATGGGGACAACGTGGGGACAATGTGGGGACAACGGCGACAATGGGGACAATGGGGCCAATGGGGACAAAGGGGACAATGTGGGGACAATGGGGACAATGTGGGGACAATGTGGGGACAACGGGGACAATGGGGACGATGGGGACAAAGGGGATAGTGGGGACAATGGGGACAATGGGGACAATGTGGGGACAATGGGGACAACGGGGACAACGGGGACAACAGCGGCAATGTGGGGACAATGGGGACAACGTGGGGACAACGTGGGGACAACGGCGACAATGGGGACAATGGGGCCAATGGGGACAAAGGGGACAATGAGGACAACGTGGGGATAATGTGGGGACAATGTGGGGACAACGGGGACAAAGGAGACAATGTGGGGACACGGTGGGGACAACGGGGACAGTGCCAGCACCTCCACTCGGCCTCCAGGTGCAGGCTCTCGTACTTGCGCTGCGCCTGGCCCACGGTGAGCAGCGGGTGCAGCCAGTGCAGCTCGCTGGACTTGACGTGCTTGAGGCGCAGCCCGTAGCACTCGCACAGACGCACGTCCGGCCCGATGCGCCCGCTCTGCAGGATGGAGCGGATCACCTCCTGCGTGGGGAGGGGAAAACGGGGATCGGGTGAGTGGGATCCCGTGGGATCTCAGCGCAGCAGCCCTGATGCGCAGAGTCACCGAGACAACCCTCGGGGGGCTCGGAGGTCCTGGAACGTTGCCAGAAGTGTCTGGTGGCTGGACTTGGGTCCTGCACGGGAGACGACGCCTGTGTGAGGATGGGAGGATCTCACGGGGATAAATGGTGAAGGGATGGGTTAATTGTAGTGGGAAACACAGATCCATCTCAAGGGTGGGAAATGACCATGGAGATCCATCTCAAGGGTTGGGAATGACCATGGAGGGATAGGTTAATTATAGTGTGAAACACAGATCCACCTCAAGGGTTGGGAATGACCATGGAGAGCCACCTGAAGGGTGGGAAATGACCATGGAGATCCACCTGAAGGGTTGGGAGTGACCCTGGAGATCCACCTGAAGGGTTGGGAATGACCATGGAGATCCACCTGAAGGGTGGGAAATGACCATGGAGATCCAACTCAAGGGTTGGGAATGACCATGGAGATCCACCTCAAGGGTGGGAAATGACCATGGAGATCCACCTCAAGGGTTGGGAATGACCATGGAGATCCACCTCAAGGGTTGGGAGTGACCATGGAGGGATAGGTTAATTATAGTGTGAAACACAGATCCACCTCAAGGGTTGGGAATGACCATGGAGATCCACCTCAAAGGTTGGGAGTGACCATGGAGATCCACCTCAAGGGTTGGGAATGACCATGGAGATCCACCTGAAGGGTTGGGAAATGACCATGGAGATCCACCTCAAGGGTTGGGAATGACCATGGAGATCCACCTCAAGGGTTGGGAAATGACCATGGAGATCCACCTCAAGGGTTGGGAATGACCATGGAGATCCACCTGAAGGGTTGGGAAATGACCATGGAGATCCACCTCAAGGGTTGGGAATGACCATGGAGAGCCACCTCAAAGGTTGGGAGTGACCATGGAGATCCACCTGAAGGGTGGGAAATGACCATGGAGATCCACCTCAAGGGTTGGGAATGACCATGGAGATCCACCTCAAGGGTTGGGAATGACCATGGAGATCCACCTCAAGGGTTGGGAGTGACCATGGAGATCCACCTCAAGGGTTGGGAATGACCATGGAGATCCACCTGAAGGGTGGGAAATGACCATGGAGATCCACCTGAAGGGTGGGAAATGACCATGGAGGGATGGGTTAATTATAGTGCGAAACACAGGTTTTGGAATCTTGGTACAGGGGGGGTCTAGAGAAGTAAAATGGAGGAATTGGGGCGTGTCCTGTCCTTCTTCTTCTTCTTCTTCTTGGCCTCCATCTTCTGTGGTGGTGGTGGTGCCACTTTGGGATTGGCTCTTACTGAAAGTGCACTGGTCAATAAGGGTGAAAGGCATTGGGGAGAAAAGGTAAATATCTTATACGTAGTTTTTGGGTATAAAGACAAGTGACCGCCCCGAGGGCTCTCAGTGTGCTCATGGCCGACGCGCTGTGCAGGCCTCTGTTGGGAGGGGAGAAAATCTTGTAGATAAAAACTGATAAACACTGAAAAGAGAGAAAAAACCTGAAGACTCCTTTCGTCCTTTGGAGCGCGGGCTGTCCCAGGGCCATCCCGAGCCTTCCCAGGCCATCAAAAACAGCCGAGAACGGGACAAGTGGGGATCCCACGTGATCAACTCCTCGGGGGAAAAAACCCCACAAAGAAACCCACAACAGGGATCTGGTGACGGGGGAATGCAGTGGGATCACCTCCTGGATGGGGAAAACAGGGATCAACTCCTGAGGGATGAAACCCCAGGGATCTGGTGAGGGGGGGGGATCCTGTGGGATCAACTCCTGGGGTGGGGGAAAAAAGAGATCAACTCCTGACAGATAAAACTCCAGGGATCTGGTGAGCGGGGATCCTGTGGGATCAACTGCTGGGGGAAAATCCAAGGATCTGGTGAGTGGGATCCTGTGGGATCAACTGCTGGGAAGGGGGGGGGAAACAGGGTTCAACTCCTGGTGGGCGTGAAAAGAGAGATCAATTCCTGGGAGAAAAAAAAGGAGGGATCTACTCCTGGGAAGGGGGAAATAAAAACAGGGATCTGCTGAGGGGGGAATGCAGTGGGATCACCTCCTGGATGGGGAAAACAGGGATCAACTCCTGAGGGATGAAACCCCAGGGATCTGGTGAGTGGGGATCCTGTGGGATCAACTCCTGGTAATAAGGGGGGGGGGTGGGGTAAAAACAGGGGTCGGGTGAGCGGGATCCTGTGGGATCAATCCTCGGGGTGGGGGATGAAGAGGGATCAACTCCTGGGGCAAAAAACCAGGGATCTGGTGAGGGGGGATCCACTCCAGGGGGGTGGGGGTGGGGATAGGGACCTGGTGAGCAAGGATTCTGTGGGATCAACTCCTGGGGGGAAAAAGCAATCTGGTGAGCAGGGATCCTATGGGATCATGTCTTGGGGGAAAAAACAGGTATTTGGTGAGTGGGGATCCTGTGGGATCAAATCCAGGGGTGGGAGAGGGGGGGGGAACAGGGATCTGGTGAGGGGGGATCCCATGGGATCACCTCCTGGAGAAAGAAAAAGAGGGATCAACTCTGGGGTGTGTGTGTGTGTGTGTGTGTGTGTAAGATCAGGGATCTGGTGAGGGAGGATCAACTCCTGAGGGGGAAAAAACCAGGAATCAACTCCAGGGGGGAAAAACCAGGGGCTCTCATGAGCAGGGATCCCATGGCATCACCTCCTGGAGAGAGGAAAAAGAGGGATCAACTCTGGGGATGGGGGGGATGGGGAGGGGGGAGGAATCAACTCCTGGGAGAAAAAAAGGAGGGATCAGCTCCTGGGGAGGGGGGAAATAAAAACAGGGATCTGGTGAGGGGGATCCTGTGGGATCAACTGCTGGATGGGGAAAACAGGGATCAACCCCCGAGGGATAAAACTCCAGGGATCTGGTGAGGGGGGATCCTGTGGGATCAACGCCTGGTAATAAGGGGGGTGGGGATAAAAACAGGGATCGGGTGAGCGGGATCCTGTGGGACCAACTCATGGAGGGGGAAAAACAGGTATCAACTCCTGGGGGAAAAAACCAGGGATCTAGTGAGTGGGAATTCCATGGAATTGCCTCCTGGGGGGGAAAACCAGGGATCTGGTGAGGGGGGATCCCGTGGGATCAAATCCTCAGGGAAAAAAAACCCCAGGGATCTGGTGAGAGGGAATTCCATGGGATCAACTTCTTTGGGGGGGGGGGGGGGGGGAAGGAGTAATCAATTCCTGGGGGGAAAACCCCAGGGATCTGGTGAGAGGGATTCTGTGGGATCACCTCCTGGGAGATGAAAAAAAGGGATTGACTCCTGGGGGAAAAAAGAGGGATCAACTCTTAGGAGGGAGGGGGGGGTGGTAAAATCAGGGATCTGGTGAGGGGGGATCACCTCCTGGGGAGGGGGGAAAACAGGGATCAATTCCTGGGGGGGAAAACACCAGGAGATCTGGTGAGGGGGGAATTCCATGGGATCAACTCCAGGGGGAAAAAAGAGAGAGGGATCTGGTGAGCAGGGATTCTGTGAGATCACCTCCTGGGCGAGACGAACGCCAGGGATCTGGTGAGGGGGGGATCCCCATGGAATCACTTACTGAAAAAAAAAAAAATCAATTCCCGCCCCGAGAATTCCCGCCTACCCGAATCTCGGTGGCCACGGAGCACTTGACCAGCTTGAAGTTCTTGCCCAGGTTGCAGCTGTTGCTGTAGAAGCAAACCTTGAGGATGCGCGTCTCCTCCTCCTCCTCCTCCTCCTCCTCCTCCTCCCGGTGGTGGTGATCCCGGTGGTGATCCCGGTGGTGATCCCGGGGATCCCGGGGGTCCTGGGGGTCCCGGTCCGGGGTGTCCGTGGCCTCCAGGGTGCCGGGGAGGCTGCGGGAGGAGCTGCTGCGGGGCCGCCCCAGCGGGTCGGGGAGCGCGGACATCCTCAGGAGAGACTCGGCGGCGTCAGGGGAGGAACATCCCTTCCCTGCCGGAGTGGTGGGAATGACGGCGAGGTGGGAAAAAAGGGGGAAAAAAGGGAAAAGGGGGAAAAGGGGAAAAAGGGGAAAAAGGGGGGAAAGGGGGGAAAGGGGAAAAAGGGGGAAAAGGGAAGGGGAAAGGGGGAAAGGGGAAAAAAGGGGGGGAAAGGGGGGAAAGGGAAGGGGAAAAGGGGAAAAGGAAGGGGAAAATGGAAGGGGAAAGGGGAAAAGAGAAATGGGGAAAAGGGGGAAAAGAGGGAAGGGTAAAAGGGAGAAAAAGGGGGAAAGAGGAAAAGGGCACAAGTGAAGGGGAAAAGAGGGGGAAAGGGGGGAAAGGGGGAAAGGGGGGAAAAGGGGGAAAAAGGGGAAAAGGGGGAAAAGGGGGAAAAGGAAAAGGAAGAGGGAGAGGAAATGAAAAAGGAAAAGGAAAAGGGGAAAAGGAAAAGGGGAAAAGGGGAAAAGGGGAAAAGGGGAAAAGGGGAAGGGGAAAAAGGAAATGGGAAAAAAAAAGGAAAGGGAAAGGAAGGAAAAGGGGAAAGGGAAATGGGAAGGGGAAAAATGGGGAAAAGGGAGAAAAGGGGGAAAAAGGGGGAAAAGGGAGGAAAAGGGGAAAAGGGGGAAAAGGGAAAAGGGGAAAAGGGGGAAAGGGGAAAAAGGGAATGGGGAAAAGGAGGGAAAGGGATGGGAAAAGGGAAGGGAAAAAGCAGAGGGGAAAGGGAGATGGGAAGGGGAAAAAGGAAAAAAGGGGGTAAAAGGGGGAAAGGGGGGAAAAGGGGGAAAGGGGAAAAAAGGGAACAGGGGAAAAAAGGGAACAGGGGAAAAAGGGGGAAAAAGAAGGGAAATGGAAGGGAAAAGGAGAAAGGGAAATGGGAACGAAAAAGGAAAGGGAAAGGAAGGGAAAGGGGGAAAGGGAAATGGAAATGGGAAGGGGAAAATGGAGAAAAGGGAGAAAAGGGGAAAAAAGGGGGAAAAGGGGGAAAAGGGAAAAGGAAAAGGGGGAAAGGGAAATGGGGAAGGGGGAAAAGGGGCGAAAGGGGGAAAGGGGAAAAAGGTGAGAGGGAAAAAGGTCAAAAGGGGAAAAGGGGAGAAATCAAGAGAAATGGGGAAAGGGAAAGGGGAAAATGGAAATGGAAAAGGGAAAAAGGAGAAACAAGGGAAAATGGGGAAAAGGGAAAAAGGGGGGGGAATGGAAATGGGAAATGAAAAATGGGAAAGGAAAAGGGGGAAAAGGGGGAAAAGTGGGAAGGTGGAAAGGGGAAAAGGGAAAAGGGGAAAAGGGGGAAAAGGGGGAGAGGAAGGGGAAAATGGAAGGGGGAAAGGGGAAAAGGAAGGTGGAAGGGGAAAAGAGAAATGGGGAAAAGGGAAAGTCGAAAGGGGGGAAAAGGGGAAAAGAGGGAAGGGTAAAAGGGAGAAAAGGGGGAAAGAGGAAAGGGGCACAAGTGAAGGGGAAAAGGGGAAAAGGGGGAAAGGGGAAAATGGGAAAATGGGAAAAGGGGGAAAAGGAAAAGGAAAAGGAAAAGGGGAAAAGGAAAAGGGGAAAAGGGGAAAAGGGGAAAAGGGGAAGGGGAAAAAGGAAATAGGAAGAAAGGTGAAAGGGGAAAAAGGGGGGGAAAGGGGAAGGGAGATGGGAAGGGGAAAAAAGGGAAAGCAGAAAAGGGAAAAGGGGGAAAAGGGGAAAAGGGAAATGGGGAAGGGGGAAGGGGAAAGGGGAAAAGGGGAAAGGGGAAAATGGAAAATGGGAAATGGGAAAATGGGAAAATGGGGAAAAGGGGAAAGGGGAAAGGGGGAAAGGAAAGGAAAGGAAAAGGGGAAAAGGGGGGAAAGGGGAAGGGGAAAATGGAAAGGGAAAGGGGAAGGGGAAAAAGGGGAAAGGGGAAAGGGAAAAGTGAAACGGAGGAAAGGGAAATGGGAAAGGAAAGAGAGGGAAAAAGGGAAAGAAGAGTGAAAGAGGAAAATGGGTGAAAAGGGAGAGAGGAAAAAGGGGAAAACGGGGAAAAGGAAGGGAAAAGAAGGGAAAAGGAAGGGAAAAGGAAGGGAAAAGGAAGGGAAAAGGAAGGGAAAAGGGGGAAAAGGGGGAAAAGGGGGAAAAGGGAAAGAAAAGGAAAAGGAAAAAAAGCGGGAACAGTGAAGGGTACCATGGAAAAGGGAAAGGAAATGGGAAGAGGGAAAGGGAACGGGAAATGGTCGAGAAAAGGGGAAAGGGAAAAAGGGAAAGTGACAACTGATGTCCCCCCCATGCCCGAGCAATGCCCGTGTCCCTGTCACCTCCAGCGCCACCTCTGTGTCCCCCCACATCTCCCATCGCCCCCTCCATGTCCTTGTCACCTCCGGAGGGACATGTCCATGTCCCCAACACCTCTTTCGGGACCACCTCCATGTCCCTGTCACCTCCGGAGTGACATGTCTGTGTCCCCAGCACCCCTTTAGGGACATCTCCATATTCCTGTCACCTCAGGAGAACACATCTGTGTCCCCAGCACATTCAGAGCGAAGCCTTTGTGTCCCTGTCACCTCCATGGCAAACACCTCCATGTCCTTGTCACCTCCAGAGCCTCTCTGTCACCGATAAAACAACATCTCCTGTCCTTGTCACCTCCATGGCAACACCTCCATGTCCTTGTCACCTCCAGAGCCTCTCTGTCACCGATAAAACAACATCTCCATGTCCTTGTCACCTCCATGGCAACACCTCCATGTCCTTGTCACCTCCAGAGCCTCTCTGTCACCAATAAAACAACATCTCCATGTCCTTGTCACCCCGAAAACATCTCCATGTCCCTGTCACATCCATGGTGACACCTCCGTGTCCCTGTTACCTCCAGAGCCCTATGTCTGTCCTTGTCACCGGCACAGCAAAATCTGTGTCCCCAACATCCCCGCCAGAGCAACGCCCATGTCCTTGTCACCTCCAAACCAGCACCTCTTGGTCCCTGCCACCTCTAGAGCAACATCTCTGCGTCCTTGTCACCTCTGAACCAAGACCTGGGCCCTTGTCACCTCCAGAACCTCTGTGTCTTTGTCACCTCCGTGTCCTTGTCACCTCCAAACCAGCACCTGTGTCCTTGTCACCTCCAGAACCCCTCGGTGACCCCAGCACTTCCAGAGGAACATCTCCATGCCCTTGTCACCTGCACAGCAAATCTGTGTCCCCAACATCCCTCCAGAGCAACGCCTGTGTCCTTGTCACCTCCAGAACCTCCATGTCCCTGTCACCTCCAAAACAACACCTCTGTGTCCCTGTCACCTCCAGAGCAATACATTTGTGTCCTTGTCACCTCTGAACCAAGAGCTGTGTCCCTGTCACCTCCATGGTAACATCTCCATGTCCTTGTCACCCCCAGACGAACACATCTGTGTCCCCAGCACATTCAGAGCAAAGCCTCTGTGTCCCTGTCACCTCCATGGCAACACCTCCATGTCCCTGTCACCTCCAGAACCTCTCTGTCTTTGTCACCTCCAAAACAACCCCTCCATGTCCTTGTCACCTGCACAGCAAAATCTGTGTCCCCAACATCCCCTCCAGAGCGACACCTGTGTCCTTGTCACCTCCAGAACCTCTCTGCCACCTCCAGAATCTCTCTGTCCTTGTCACCTCCAAACCAGCGCCTCATTGTCCCTGCCACCTCTAGAGCAACATCTCTGCGTCCTTGTCACCTCTGAACCAAGACCTGTGCCCTTGTCACCTCCAGAACCTCTGTGCCTTTGTCACCTCCGTGTCCTTGTCACCTGCACAGCGAAATCTGTGTCCCCAACATCACCTCCGGAGCAACGCCGGTGTCCTTGTCACCTCCGAACCAACGCCGGTGTCCTTGCCACCTCCAGAACCCGTCGGTGGCCCCAGCACTTCCAGAGGAACAATTCCACGTCCCTGTCACCTCCACGGTGACAACTCCCTGTCCCTGTCACCTCCACAGTGACACCTCCACACCTGCGACCTCCACAGCAACACCTCCACGTCCCTGTCACCTCCACAGGGACATCCTCATGTCCTTGTCACCTCCAGAGTGACACCTGCAATTCCTTCTCACCTCCACAGTGACATGTCCATGTGTCCTTGTCACCTCTGAAGCAATATCTCCACATCCCTGTCACCTCCACAGTGACACCTCTGTGTCCCTGTCACCTCCACAGTGACATCTCCATGTGTCCTTGTCACCTCCAAACCAACATGTCCATGTGTCCTTGTCACCTCTGAACCAATATCTGCACATCCCTGTCACCTCCACAGTGACAGTTCCATGTCCCTGTCACCTCCACAGTGACACCTCCCTGTGTCCCTGTCACCTCCAAACCAACATCTTCATATCCTTGTCACCTTCACAACAACACATGCATGTCCCTGTCACCTCCACACTGAGACCTCCATGTCCCTGTCACCTCCATGGTGACACCTCCACATCTTTGTCACTTCCACAGTGACACCTCCATGTCCCTGTCACCTCCACGGTCACAACTCTGTCTCTGTGTCATTTTCACAGCAACACCTCCATGTCCTTGTCACCTTCATGATGACGCCTTCATGTCCCTGTCACCTCCAGAGTGACGTCTCTGTCTGCATGTCACCTCCACAGCGACACCTCCATGTCCTTGTCACCTCCAAACCAACATCTCCATGTCCCTGTCACCTCCACAGTGACACCTCCACGTGCCTGTCACCACCAGAGTGACACCTCCCTGCCTCTGTCACCTCCATGGTGACACCTCCGTGTCCCTGTCACCTCCACAGTGACACATCCATGTCTCTGTCACCTCCAGAGGGCCAGCTCCATGTCCTTGTCACCTCCACAGTGACACCTTTCTCTGTCCCTGTCACCTCCAAACCAACACGT